CACATTTCGCACTTCCTTCTCTTCGGTGGACCCATCTTTGAATTTCTTTGTTATTGGTATAGTTTTCGTTACCCACTCCTCCCATGGTTCCTTTTGTTAAAGGATCCAATGTTGCTACATGTCCTGTACGTGCACGACATGTTATCATCACTACACACACTGGCCTGTACAATGTCCCTTGGGGATGATGATTCTATGACCCCAAGTTAGTACAGCTTTATCTTGAAGCCATAGTTTTCATGTGTTTTGCAAGCTTTGTTTCTCTGTCTGTAACTCTTCGCTGGCCAATCCAAAATGGCTTAAGTTTTAAGGAATTGAGACTTTGAAAGGTTGTGCCTGGGATTTTCAGACAGAAATCTTCTATGAAGATTCGCCATAGTGTCTGTTAATGCTCTCTTTCGGAATATCTGGCCCTTTCTCCGAATTTCTCCAGATTTACATTTATTACAGTGGAGACATCATCTTGATGAAGGAATTGGCTAACAAGTGTGCACATAAGTCTTCTCTGGCTGTTATTAGGTAATGTTCTTCCTCTCTTTATAGTTTTGTTCTGAACTTCCCTGCCTTCCCTGTTTACAATGATATGCCTCCTCTTGGCCATCTCAAGTCTTTTCAGTCCTTTTTTTAGATTGACCATCTCTTTGGTCCTCTCCAGAAGTTTCTCTTCTGTGTAACGCAAGTTCGACCTCAATTTCGATCCTGTTTTCTTCCTTCTGTTCCTCTTTTTAGGTGATTCCTTTGGGGTAGATGTCTTTATTGGTACTGGTGTCTGTATAGTCTTTCTTCTTTTTGGAGTTGAGGTGATGGCACAGACACTTATCTACTAAGTGAGAATGGCTGTACTCTTGGGGAGGCTGTGTCTGCTTGAAGATTTTGAATATCTTAATTTGCTCCGGAAAATGTTGAAGTGTATCATCTTCCTCATCATCTTAGATCGTCTGTGCATTGACGTGTTGCAACATATTCACACAGATAGATGAACAAGCATCTAAACAAGCATAAACAAGTATGAACTGACAACAGAGTAGTAAGTAGTTTTCCCACAGTAAGCATACTGAATAAAAAATTATAACATAAATGTACACTGTAACAAGGTATCACGGATGACTGTGCATTTGTGATGCTAATCGAGACTACAGGATATACTGTTAGCTTAACTCGTGGTCATATATTTAACTTCAAAACTTCACCGAAAAATTCTGTTGTGCAATACAAACAACTTCTAGAAGGACTATACATTTTAGTCTAACACCAAGGACATGACACACAACACTTTTGTACAAGTTCATACCTGTAAAAGGGGATATTTGAGTCAAGAAACACGGACACCAAACATTCCTCAGATCGTCTGTGTATTGACTGGTGAGGAAGCGCAGTGTACATTACTCAGTTGCGGGTGCACCCCCTGCTGGTGTCTCCTGATAACTACATCAACATTACTGCCATAGGTGTTAGAATAACATTCAGCTAAAACACATGAAAAACACAATTTAAAACTTATGTAACTGACTGTAATCTAACAGACTACCATAACTTGAATCAATAATTCTCATGTATCATTGAGGATACAGTAACAGAGACTCAAACAAACTATAATGACATGTGTAATTTCTAACCATTACAATAACACATGTAAAGGTTGTAGGGAGGATGAATAATGCATTATTAAGTAGTAAATTGATAAATTAGGCTGCATAAAAATTTTGATGTCTTACCTGAACACTGGTTAGGAAGAGCGACTCCCATCGGCAGGTGTCCCGGATCCATGAGTGGTCTGCTGAAGGCTGTTTAAAGATTCTTCGGCTTTCCACTAGAGATGAAATATCCAAAGGGTTTGTTGAAGTTTTGTAGAAGTTCTCTTGAACGCTATTCAAATGTTAGCTTCAAAGCTGGGATTTTGCAGGTCAACTCGTTCAAAGTTCAAGTGCAAAAAGCGGAGAGCAGAAGGTTCCACGGCTTTATATAACCTCGGTTGGATCTGTTTCCATGATACTCCGTGCGTGTGTAGCCGTTCTGTCTTGACACTCAGTGTGCTACCAAAATGTTCCTGCGTTGTGTTGTGTATGGATGAGACCAAGACCAAAAACTTCCTTGCCAACTGGAGCAGATTTATTTTCACACCATCTGTGTAAATAAAATACATTCAGTACAGCAACTTCATACGACTGGGCTTCAACATGCACACCTTTAAAGGGGAGAAGAATATACAGCGGACCACATGAGAAACCACACGGATGCTCTACCTTAAAGTTCGCCTAATTAGCATATAACAACCAAGTGCTGTACGACAAATAAAACTCTTCAAATACATTAACCAACAGTTAACATGTTATTAAAACGTCTGTGAGCCTAACGAAGTATAGTTGAACCACTATTCATCATGTTTTTTCCCGTGTATTAACACTTTATGAACTGGGGCACATTTAAACACTCACTTATCGTCGGCGGGGTCTCAGGCATAGGTCTCAGGCCGTCTAGAGTAGTGCGAATCTACAGGATGTGACATCATCACAGCAGAAAAAGATATGACAAAATGTAAATATGACTTAAAGGAAGGACTTTTGGTGAATTATAAAAAAAAAATTGACAAAGTATTTTAACACACCTGTTACACGTTCGTTAGTGCAGGCACAGAAAAATAAATATAATTTTTATTATTGTATTATTTATCACTATTATGTTATTTTATTTTCCCTATTATATTTTTATTTTTCATACTTTTACACACATGTTTAGATGGTATAAGAATACTTGCATGATGATATTTGGTAGGTCATCACCTCGCGATGTGATTCAGTCAATTATCAGGACAATCTGATGTAGAGTTTCAAATTAAAAGCTTTAATTTGGAAATACAACAGGCTATATCAGATTGTTTTGATATTTAGTAAATAACAGTGAGGTGAACTACCAGTCTGGATTGAAATGAGTCTGTGGTAACAGGACATTTATTTTTAATCTGAAATTGAAATAAGCCTGGATGTCATTTAAAAACTAATTCTTTCATAAGTACTCCATGACTCTGATATAATTAGCCTATACTTCTTGGACTACATGCACAGGTACTATGAAGTACTTTTACTGTGTACTTTTGAAAAGGCCCTTATACAGCACAATAAAAGTATATTTTTTCTGACTTTGATGTCTGGTAAAACTATTATGGAAGATTTTTTTTTTCCAGACATCAAAGTCAGAAAAATGGGATTCATTATCATTATGGGACACTGACAGTGGATTACTCAAATGGAACTTCATAGTAGCCTACTTGTGCGTGTAGTCTAAGAAGTACTTATATCACGATATCAGAATCCTGGAGTAAACGTTTTTATCAGACAACAAAATCAGAGGAAAACTTACTGATATTTCCACTGTATTGTTTATTTGACTTCCATTTCAATCAGGCAGTGTGATGCAAGTGTGAGGAGAACAAGAACAAATCAGGAGAAAGACACAAGGTGGGAAAGATTCAAAATGTTTTACTGGTGCTCAGATGAGTTCCAGCCATAGATTGTAAAATTCAAGCAGAAAGACTGGTTGTAATCTCTCACACAATTTAGCTACTCCCTCTCAACCAATCGGCATGCCGCTGTCAAATTTTAAAATGTGTTCTCTGTCTTCCGCTGTCATTTCAGTGCGATCGCTGCGACCCTCCTCCGCCCCAGTCACCTCCAATCCAGCTCATCTAAATTCAGAGACAGCCCCTGAAACCCACTCCTCATCACAGCCTGCATATCCTTACAATCACCACTAACTAGTGTTTGGTGGGGGATCCATCCTATCCTGCTCGCTACCCCTCATGAAGTAATCATGACGGAATCTAATCGCTAAAGACACTGCATATTTATATTTTCCTAAATTGCGAAATAAATAGTTGTTAACTTCAGTCTCTGCTGATTGAAATAGTTTTTCAAGACCCACCTAATATGTCATGTAAATTGCTCCCTTAAACTTTTTAAAAATCCTTTTATTTAACTTAATGAATCAAAATGATTTATGTATAGATTTTTTCCATTTGATCTTATTCTAAGAATGGAAATGCTAAGCCTCTAAAAATCAATTGCCTTGCTCTTCAGTTTACCTGAAGTGAGATTTTTCCCTGTTTTAAACAGCAGAACAAGGTTCTTGTACACAGATTGCTGAACTGGGAAAGACATACAGAGGCAATTATCCACAAGAATACTAACAAAACGTCTTAATCCAGGAACTCAGTGAAGATAGAAATACAAGATAATAACTTCCCACTTCTGTTAACACTGGCATCCATATAATCCTCAATCAGTAGCCATGTTGTGGATTAATGGAAAGAGTGACGTTTACAACAATCACTTGTAATGTTTCTGTTTGCACCTTGAGTTTTTTTTGTTCAATGTATGTTTTAAGTATTTTTCTTGTTTTTATTTCTTCCCCTGTTCAAAGATAATTCCTTTTCCTCTTTTCCAATGCATTGAGGCCCTTTAGGCCATTATGTTCCCATTCACTGAGATTTGTGTGTGCCTGGATCACAGTTCTCGTCTACCAACAGAGGTTGCTTACCAGCTTATAATAATATAAAAGCTGTTTGCCAAGGACAGTATCAGGGGATTACATCAAGTACATTTGGAGTGACCCCTATCTTCAAGTTAGCAAAGAGAACCTTTCAGGGCCTGATATTGTAGTTTCACAGACTGACATCCCTGATGAGTGGTGTGTGTGCACCAATCAAATCTGTTTACCCTAATGGATAAACAATTCCACACTTTAGATATTATCTCTGTTTTACTGTTGCCAAAGTGTATCATTTGTGAACTTTGTGTATTGAGGTTAGGGTTAGTATCTGGAAAGGCTGTTGTCATAGAATAAAAACGTTAATGTCACACATTTACAAATTCTTATGCATGTTTTTGTTAAAGTTTCTGATTGTAAGAACTCTAGTGACAAAACTAATTTGACTATATTTGTCTATTACATTTATGAATCATTAAACATTACACCTGGGATATTTGAATGTATCAGCACATGCTGTTTTCTGTGATGATAACTCATATCATCATGCAACACTGCAATGCAAACATTTATTTTATGTTATTTTTTAAACGCAGTTGCAAAAATGTTTGTGAGTTTTTTCTTTGAACAAACATATTTTCAGTTTGTCCCATGTCCTCTGGGGAATTAGAATCACTTCAAGTTCTTGAATTTGAGTTTTGGGTTAGAGAGTTTCATGTATGGGACACAGTGCTAATGTGAAATCATTCCTTCAAAACCCGTTCTTTAGCAGAAAAAGGCTTTTCAATTTTGAATGTATATCCGCTAAGTTCTCTATCAGTTTGATAGAGAATCAAGTGATGTGTACGTGTACTAAGATAGATCCTGATAGAGCCTTCAGTAGAATTCACTATCATAATCAAAATCCATCACTTGGATCTGGTGCCTTTTCTTCTCTTCCTCTTGTTCCTCTTCTCTTTTCTGCTCCTCACTTTCTTCATCATTTGTCCCATCTTCTTTTTTGATCTTACTAAACTCCTTGTATATTCCAGTTAGAGCTTTCGCTGCTTCCAGAGATACTTTTAGATTTCCAATCACCTCCTTTTCTTCATCTACACCCACAACTGAGAGAAAAAAACAAGGGAACACTCACTTTAAGAAACACATATTGTTACTACTTCTTTCTTTTGCGGCACAAAGCATGACACACAAACATTACATACTGTCTATTTGTTGGTTGATGACATCATTTCCTGTCAGGAGCAGTTCCGGTAAATCCAGAAAAGCGTGTCCAACATCCACACACTCCTGGTCATCGTCCATCGGCTCATTGACTACTGTAAACTTTAACCTGCCACACAGACACACACAGACACACAGACACACACTCTTAGTTGTAGCTTCTGCATTCTACACTAATGTGCAAAAGTAGACAGAAAACAGCAGCAACACTACCTGCCCTGGTTGGGGTCAGTACGCTCCAACATGGTGTAGAGATATTGTCTGAGTGGAGCTGACCCGGAACCATCTACATAAATCACTGAGAGAGACAAAAGGAGAGATTGAGGTTTGTAAAGGAGCTTAGAGTGTCATACTAGCAAAGCTTGCACTTTCTCACCTCTTGTAAAATTGTAGTGAATCTCCTTTCCGTCTAATGGTTTGCAGAGGGACATCGGTGTCTCAGTTGTCTCCATTGGGATGCCAAGCAGCCGATATTCTACATAAACTCGCTGCACCGACTTGTCCAGCACCACAAGTGAGGAGGGCTCAAACATCAGGGACAGAATCTCAACTCTCAGACTTTCTCCCTTAAAAGCAAAACAGTTCTGTTCAACTCATTACTTTGAGGTAGATGAAACCAATGTGGTCTTTTTGAATAATACTGTAATAATCTGGTCAGATTATTTAAAATATGAATAGTTGTTTAACAGGCATTATAGCAAAATGTGATCGTAAAACTAAATGTAAAATAACATGTTACTCTTTTGTTATTATACACTAACTTTGTACCTTCTTCATTTTTGGCTTTGCTGTAGTGATGATGTCACTTTGTGAGGAACTTGTCTCAGGAGACTCTGGGATGTCACTTTCTTCTGCAGCTACTGTTAAGTCAAAACAAATAAAATGAGATCTGATTAGTTTGAAAGCTTATTTTAATTAATACATGTATTTATTTTTAAGGGTTAAGATCAAATGCTATATTTTACTGTTATTCTTTGAATACTTGAAAAAGGTTAAGATTCATATAGTAGGTGTTAAGATCTATTGTTTGGATATGAGTAGTTACCGCTCTCCCTCTGCTCCTTTTCCTCCTCTTCTTCATCAAGTGACAAATGATCCTAAGGAGAAGAAATGAGTTCACCAGACATATCTTATTTTGTGTTTACTATTTATTTTGAAACTCTTGTTTGTCATTACAAAAACCTTTTTTAACTTGTATTTATTTGCTGTGAATATTGACTTTTACAGATATAGTTTAATGGCCTGTGAAAAGAGAGAGAGAGAGAACGAGATCCTACCTGAGCCCTGGCATCGTTTGTAGAGCTTCTCCTTGACATTGAGGAAGAAGTTCCCTCTGAAGACCTTAAATGAGATTTAATAGTTTATCAATATACAAATAATCTACATTTGTTTCAGTATCAATTTTAGTTTTAGGTAAATATGTAAAAAGGAAAAAAACGAGTAATTTCCTACAACTGAAAACTGTCTCTACATATGTGATGGTTGGTTAGACCGTTCCCTTATTTGTCCATCTACACATTTGCTTACTTCCTTCCTGGTTTCAGATTGGGTATTCCCTGGTAAATATTTGGTGATGTCTTGGTGGATCTTTTCTTGTACCTGGACTGGCCACTTGCTGTTGGAATCACAGACTCTCGTCTTCTATACTCTGAGCTTTTCTGTTGGACCAGTGGTGGTTGAGGCTGTGGCTTTGAGCAGACAAATAAACTCGTAAAATTAGTGAAATAACTTGGAAATACACTGCTTTTGTTTTCGCTCCTTCTTAAAAACCTCACCAAAGCTTGAGTCTCTTCCTGCGCTGCTTTTGTTTTAATTGGCCCGAGGAAATGAGGCTGTGGGAAAAAAGAACAGTTATTAAGAAAGGAAACAGGAACACCTTCCAACACAAATATACACCAAAATGTCACCTTCACTCTAGGCTTGGCTATGGGCCTCTGTGACGTGTCCTCTCTTTCTTGTCTACCCAGCACAGCGTCCAAAGATGGTTGTATGGGGTACTTCCATCTTATCATGATTCTGACCATGCCCCGTGGTCCTCCAGCTGGATCTCTCAGGACAAAGTCACCTGAGAGGCCAGACAGACAAAAAGTACTTATATATATATATATATATATATATGTAAGACTTTTTTCTCACTTGTAGTTCAGGTAGAGAAGACTAAAGTGGTTTGTGGCAGCTTCCTGTGAGGCTGTGTTTTCTTTCAGTTTTTGAAGTCTAGTTGTTTTTAATTAGTCGACCCGGGACTGTTGTTTTTTCTCTTTTGTCAATTTTTGGGTAATAAATCCACCACTTAATTTTGAGACAACCACAACCACCACCAGTGCCGAACAGCCACACTTAAATCCCATTTTTCATGTAGACTTACAACCAGTTTGTTGTAATCAATACCATGATTGAATTATTGAGTGATTATACAGGAGTTTTTACTTTTAGTAATCAGTGGGAATATTCGATTATACAGTTCAGGTTTAATCCAAGATCATTTGACAATAGTGATTTGTGAACCTTTGTATATCAAGCGCTTGATTTAAATTCCCAGAGGAAGCAATGTGAAAGAAGAGTTTACATCTTACCCAAAACAACTTCTTTTGGTAAAACATCCAAAATGAAGACTGACTCGTATCTAGCATAGAATGAAGAACTTCTTCAGCATTTTTAGACTACTCATTTTTTTGTGTTATTGCTTTCTGACTTTATATTACCTTCTATTATTTCCTAATTAAATGGTGTAGCTCCAACATTTCCTTATAGGTCAGTGTTCATCTGAAGACATTCTTTCTCTGTTTTTTGTTTTGCAGTATCAAACATCAGTTTGACAACAACAGTATTGTCTTTTTAAAAAAAGATAATATTAATAAAGACAATGACACTGCAACAATGCTACAAGTTTGCAAGATGTTGTTTTATTGGGATTCAACTTAATGAAGAATAAAACTAAAACAAGATTTAAGTTAATCAGTTTTTAAAACTTTACTAAAGCACATATTTACTTTGTTACAGTTAGTCCTAAATCCAAGTGTTCATTTTTTTTATTTTACAATACGCTGTCCAGTACAGTTAATTTTTCCTTTCTGACATGTTTTGTTTATTTTATACACAACTAAAAAAAAAAAATCAAACATGGATTTGCTTCATTTATTTTTCTTTGAATGAACACCTTGACCTGGAATAATTAAGGTCGAAATAGTTATTTCTACAGTGATTTGATATTGAGCAGCTGCAATCGGTTCTATCTTAGAAGATAAGATGTTAGATGCCAAAACAGTTGTAGTATAAGACCAATTATTTTAAACATTTATGTAAAACATGTAATATGTTCTACCTACAGCTAGATAAATGCTTACTATAGTAACATCTCTTTGTCTCACCTCTGATGTCTCGGCCTGAAGCAAGGATTCGCAATGGGATCGGGGTCTTGGCAAGATAGGACGGTGGCATCTCGTCTTCAGTGTCATCAAACACGTAAACCCACAAACTGCTGGACCTACAGGTATAATTAAAGTCAAATGTTTACAATATTTATTATCTTTCTTTATTCAAATATTGAGATGATTCAGATTATCCTTACTTAGGCTATCATACCTCAGGTAGTGCAACACATCAGTTGTAACTGCTAGTGGGTAGCTAGCAATGTCATTGAACACCGGTTCAGAGGTGCACCTAATTGTTTGCGAGACATGAGGCGGCAAGTCGTAGAACCTGTAGGTCAGGTAGGAATCAGGAAGAAGTCCTGTCCAGCGAGCACTAAGGCCAACACAACGTTCCAACATAATCTCCAACTCATTGGGGATCCCACCACCATAGTCATATAACTCCTGCAAACACCATTGAACATCTGTTGTTGTATTTTACTGACACTGATACACTAGAAGAGTTGACATGTTCAGTGGTTCTCAACTGGTTCATCGGGACCCAGAAATGGGCCGCGGAGCCTATTCAGTGGGTTGTGAATGTGTGCCTGGACATTTTATTGTGTCAAAGCATCTATGAAGGGCTTTTTACACGTTTGTTCTGTAGTACAAACTGCACAATTTGTCCTTTATTAAATCTGAACGGTTGAAAAATATCTGAACATTAGGTCGTGATTTCTCATTAAGAAACTAGAGATGGGTCCTGAGGCTGGACCACTTGAGAACCACTGTTCTATACGTTGACATATTCCTTATGCATAGTACAAGTCATTTTAAGAAGCAGTTTGTGTACCTCGTAAGCAGCACCTTGCCAGCCAAGAGAGATCTGAACAGGTCTCTGCACGGCTCCTCTCTCCCTCAAAGGGTTGAGGGGTTCAGCAGAATTGAACAGGCATACCCAGAAATCCACAACGCCAACAATGTCCCCCTCAGAACCTTGAACCCAAACAGAATTTAAGATTTACTTTGATTCTTAGTTAACAAATAAACACACATTGCATCATTAACCAAGTCCATCATAGTATTTAACAAAGAATATCTTCAAATCACTACATTTTAAAACAATAGACAGCAGTAACATAAGAAGGTAAGATGGGGTATACATGTTTTTCTATACAACATCACTCACCTGTAATGTTGACAGATCTACACATACGCTCTCCTCTCCTTTCCTTGGTGCCCATTAGAGACAACTGCCCACTTCCATGTGTCAGAAAACTGACCCCCCCTAACGCCTGGTGAAGCTCTACTCTGACCCTTGAATCTTCCAGCCTGCCCACATCTCGGTCCGTCAGAGCATAGCGGGACGTGAAGCTGTAGCTTGGTTGGCAGCCTGAAACCAGAGGAGTGGAGTGCATCTCATAGTCTAAGAGGCTGTAGGTGCAAAAGGTCACAATGTCTCCTCCTCCGTTCATCTCTCCTTGATGGATTCTTCCCATCGTACGAAGCCCAGATGGGGTGAAAGTTGCTGCCTGGATATAAAATACACAACAGTTAAGATGGATTGGAAAAAAGTTTCTAATAATTTAAAATAAAAAAAAGTCATGTACAACTTCTACATGTTTTTAGACCTTCAGATGGATCTCCAACAGTGACTCTCCGGCCCTTAACTGAGAAAAAGAAATGTCTTCACGTGACTGCAGCACCTCTGGGTCTCCAGTTGGCCAGGAGTACTGTGTTGGCATGGTCTGTTTGGGGCTGTAAGCAAAGTCTCTCATCTGAGCTTTGGAGTGTAAATATCAAATAAGAAAAAATAAGAGTTATAGGGGGTATTGTTCCAAATAATAACTACACATATGTTTATTACATCGCAAATTATTAAATGATTGTTTTCATTTATACTTTGTAAACTGCTGATCTGAAGCAATTGTTTTCCTAAAAGTTTGTCTTTTTCTGCCATCCTCCTCCTGCTCTCTTCCCGCACTGTCTCCATTTTCTGGTTAACTGAGGTCAACTCCTCCTTGGAAACAAAAGCTTGATTCAGGATTAAGTTTACTCAAAATTGGAAAAAGAAAAATGTGAAGAAAAGCTAAGATAGAGCATCTCTGAGTATACCTGTAGATCTTCGCTGATACGGTGCTCCATCAGCAGAAGGTTTCTAGTTTTTTGTAATTCCAGGACAGTCTCAGCATGGGAGGCCTGAGTAATTGCCACATCATGGAGGGAATCTTCTACCTTGTGACCAGTCAAGAGAAAACCAAGCTCCGCTCTGCTCTCCTGCTGCATCCTAAATGCCTTTTGTTGAAGGATAAAGTTATTTCATATTTGAAGCAGCTTAAAGAGGGCTTAAAAAAGAAAAATACATTGAATACAATTATGAAAAAACCTTGATCTGCAAAAGAATACTGCTAAGCTCCTCCACACTCATGTCAAACTCCTGAAAGAGAGGAGAGGACAATACAACTGTTAAAGGTGTGGAGGACATCTTGATAATACACCACCATATGTGTGTGTGCGTGTGTGAGTGAGTGAGTGAGTGAGTGAGTGAGTGAGTGCATCCTTGACCTTGGTGACAGAGTCTAGTCTATTTTGCAGAGCATAAATCTGCTCTTTGTAGTGGAGAACCTCTTGTTCTAGATGTTCACTTTTCTCTTTCACCATCACAGAAAACTCTAAACGAAGAAAAACAGAACACACAGAAATGAGATCAGCAATACTGTTTCTGTTCCAATATCTTAGCTACTGGAGAATTTGTTTGCTTTGTGGATAAATGAAAGCTTCAGGTGTGCCACAGAAGCTACATAATATAAACAATCTCTAACTGTAACAGTGAATCCTATTTTCCTTTAATTGACAAAAGCAATGAAAACATGAGACTCCTACCTTTTTCTAGCTCCCTCTGCTCTTCTAGTCTCTCCTTCTCCCGTCTCAGATTGTCCTTTTCCAGCCTCAGCTTGACTCTTTCTTCCCTCTCAGCTTGCAGAATCTCCTCAAGTCTCTGAATGTTAATGCTGCTTAATTGTTCTCCCTCTGTCACCCTCTTCTGGTCATCTTCACTACATTTTTCCAACTGGTCACCCTGGTTTCTTTGATCAGCTAAAGTTCTAGGAAGTGAAAGGTAAATATAAACATACATAAGGAAAGGAATCTTATTTAAAGTCGTATTCTGCTTTGCAAAGCTACTTGAATTGACTAAAGATTGTTTTGCAGGACTTAACCTCTTCAGTAGAGTGTCATAGTTTTCTTTTATTAGATCCTTCTCTCCCTCCAGGTCTGATAACCTCTCTTTAAGCTGAAATTAAAAAGAAATATTCAAACGGGTTAAAAGCTATCTTTTCAAATGTTTATTTGTCTTTCTTGGGGTTGTCTTACCTTGTCCATAGTTTGTAAAGACAAGGTGGAGGTGGTAAGTTCTCCCTCCAATTCCAGTGCTCTCTGTCTCGCCTGCTTCAGCTGCTCAGCGAGTTCCTCCACTTTCTCCAACAGAGCTTCCTGACTGGCCCTCAATGACCTCTGACTCTATGGTACACACATACATATATATATATATATATATATATATATATATATAAATAAAAATAAAGTAGATATAGAGGGCCCTTACCTCCTCAAGCTGATTTTCATATGCCTAGAACAAAATGATAATTATTTTATTATCTGTTTACATGACCTAAACAAGAGACTAATGAGACAATAATGCTCACCTCTTGCAGTTCGTTTAACTTCTCTTCTGTGACCCTCAGGGCTGTACTCTTGTCAGAAAGCTTCTTTTGTAGACGGATCAGATCAACGTCCTCTCTAATAGTAATTCTGGCGGGGAAAATATATTTTTGTATGATTGATGAGATATGATAATGATATGAAGAAAGAAAAATTAAAAAAACAAAACAAATTTCCCTTCACAGGGTTAAAAAAAAATATATATATATGGAACCTTTTGTAAGACCTGTGTCTTTCTATCTGTTGCTTCCTTGTATCTTTCACAGTTTCCTCAATCTCTTTTTCTTTCTCTCTCAGCGTATCTCGAAGCGCCTGGGCGGTCAGCTCCAGCTCTGCAACCCTGACTTGCTCAGCCACACTGGACCTGCTTGGAGGGAGAGATGTAAGAGAGGTCAGAGTGAGGGAGGTGTGTGAGTGAGGGTGGACAGCAGGGGAAGAGGACTTATGTTGTAAAAGTTGATCAGGAGACAGAGAAATCAAATATTAAGAACAAAAATGACTAATAAAACAAATACAGGACTGAAAAACTCTGACTTGAATCACACCATTTCTAAGTATGATAAATTAAGATGACATGAGTGGGTTAGGCATATTACATTTAAGTTAAACATTTTATTACAATTGTCATGGAAAAAGATTGTTAGAAGAAAATAAGATACTGCTAATATGTCAAAAAACAAACTGCACTCCAAAGAGCTGTGTAGGAGGGGACTCCTTCACACATTTGGAACAGATAGTGTCTGTTTAAACACAAGAAATCAATGCCATTAAAAAAAAAGGAAATCATTCTAAAATTGTCTTTGTTCTTTTTTTTTCTGTTCAGCTCTAAATGATGCATTCACATACTTACAATCTCTCCATTTCCACTCTGGTGTCTTCTAACATCGGGCCATAGCGAGGTGGAGCAGTCTGGGGTGCTCTCCTGACTTCCCCATCCATTTCTCTATTTTTACCTGACATAAAGACAAATCAATTGTAAGGGCAGAAGGTCAAGGACAGAAAAGAAAGCAACAATATATCCATGTTTTTGACAAAGCACACATACCTTTACTGAACTTATATGGTGTCCGTCCCCGGAGGTCCATGATGTGCTGCCTGGCCATGCTCAGTTTGTTCTGTAAGACTCCTTTCTGGCTCTCCAGCATAGCCACATGGGCTTCCAGCTCCTGTATGGTGTCCTCCTTGTCCCTCTCCTTCACACCACTGGACCCAGGACGTGCCTGCTGAAGACGCATCAGTCTTGCTGACATTCTGTAGCATATGGAGGTTAAATGTGAGTTAAATCAGCTAAAGGGAACTTCCCTTGTTGACGCAAAATTGATTTGCCCAGTTCACCCCAAATGCCTTCGGTAAAGTGCAGTCTTAAGGATAAATGTCAAAGTTTCTGTGTTAATATATTACCTGCGTAGCCTTTGCTCCTGTGTACATGTGTGTTGTCTTAGAACACTGTTTTCCTCTTGCAGCCTTAGACACAGGTCTTCCAGGTGCTCTCTGGGAAATCGAAACAAACGCTGTGGATCTGCCAATGAGAGAGTGAGAATTATTCATAAATCAACAAGTTGGTGCCTTTGTGTGCATTTGAGTGAAAGACTGAAATATTTCAATAGACATGTGCCATGCTTTTACCTTTTGACTTGATGACATGATGCTTTTTCCATAGCTTCAAATCATGAGTATCTGGAGAACACAACAAGAAAATGGCATACAAATCACTGGAAATGTATAAACAAAAGACATGTTCTGCTTCTTTAGTAATATGACGTGATGTCTTATTACATTTTGATATTTAACATAAACATTCTAAATTGATGTACTTCAAGCACAGATTTGTCTACAATCACCACATCACAAGATGACAAGGATGTTGAATTCTTCCTGGTCATACACGAACCTTGGACAGTTGGTATAAGTACCCTCCTCATCAGTCCAACATCCCTGACTGGGAGATCTCCTGCTGTCTCATCCACCACATGGGACATCATACCTCTGCATAGAGACTTAGTCAATCAGAAAACCTGAAAACGTGTAATATCGTTATCAACTGCTGGTTCATTAGGCTTCATCATTGTTGATATAAAAAATGAATAAATGTTAGGTTATTTGATTTGAAGCAACATAAGAAACCATGTTTGACTCTATAGAGACCATACACTCCAACATGTTACATTCAGGAGAATTAAACTTCCTACCTGGTAAAACTGTCATTCCCAAAACATTATTGATAAAGGAAAGATCATAGGATAAATGTTTTGGCTAGTAGCCTAATTGGGAACGCTTCCGTTTAACGTGGTTAACATTTAGACATTTCCACCGTCACACATAAAGATATTGGCATTTTAAACTACATTAACACATTTCTTGACTTACCGTTTACGTAATCCAAACAGGTTTCACACGTCGTACTTTCTTGCCTGTAGGCTCCAAACCTCCAATCATCACTTGGAAGATATCAGTTTGAATCATTTTCACCCCTTGCTCTTTTCCATCTCTTTAAAGTTTCTCTATATGGATCTCAATTTGAATGATTCTAGAAGCGTTAAAATAAGTGTTTTCAATGTGTCTACTATGTGTCTGCGTTCATTTATCTTAATGGCATACCCATTGTGCTGTATGTAGAGGTCTAATATATCCTTAATATATCCTCCCAGACCCGACAAGTCCTGGGTGCACATGCACCATCTGCCGATGACTAATCCCATCTCTGCGCTAATCTGATTAACCAACGTGGACTGTCCAAGACCTGCTCTCAAGTCTATGTTGTGTTAAATATGAATGAATGACTGAGGATAGTTATCATAGGAAGGTCTTCTGATCTGTGATCAAGGTCTTACTTTTTAACACCACCTTGCTGTTGGAGGTAGAGCAGAATAAGGGATCGGCTGGATTAAAACAAATATTTATGATCAGTACCTAAATAAGAGCAGTTTCTGAACAATTTATCCTCAAATATAAAATGGAGCTCAGCGTAATTTCAATCAGAAAGAATGGTTATATTCTCTCACACACATTTATTCAATTTCTTCATTCAATTAAGCCCCTCCCTCTCGACCACTTCCTCCGTCTCCAACCTATGTCTCCAACCCAGGCCCTTTTTCTAACCAACCCCTACACCCTCCCCCTCCGTGACGGAGTGCACTCTGTCAGAAGTCACAGCTGAATGAAGTCCCCTTTATAAATATGTAGGGTAGAAATACAGCGGCAAGATTTGGGACAAACTTTCCTCTCTCACACGGAAACAGGAACTGTGTGTTACCATGGTTACTCAGCGGTATTTTGCGGGAACGGCTTTTTTTTTGTAGCTAATGCATTCTGTAAAAATATTTATGTAGCCTAGATTATTCTTCTTCTTTAGTTATATTAGTGTAGACTTATAACAAAACTATTATATTGAGCCTACATTGTTTATTGTAATTTATAATTTAAGTTAATTTATTGTAATTTCATAGAACAGGGTGTCCTAAATTAATGCAAAGACAAGGATAATATCGTTGAACATCAGAGCAGCAAAAAGTGTATTTTTTGTTGTTGAATTGAGATTTCACAAAGACATCAAAAGTAGAAAAATAAGAAATAAATATTAACAGCGAAAAGTTGTCTGCAACATGATTTAATATGATTTTGTTTTCGCAACAGTCCCTGTAAATATAAAACACTTTACAATTTTTATTGTAATTGATTTTATTCTATTAAGGAAAACGGCTATGCCCATATTAGGGTTGTGGCAGATTTGATTGACAGCTCTGCGTGCTGCATCTGTCTGTCAGGTCAGGAGGCTAACAGCTTGATCCGTCAGATTTCTCCTCTTTCTTACTTCGTTTGGAGAGTTTGTTTAACACATATCTGACAACATACATGGCTTGCTGTGCGGTTAACAGACCATCCAACAAGTTGATGCTTCAGTTTTTTTCGGTAAGTGATATAGTAGTGTTATATTTACTGCTTACTCATGTGTTTATATTTACGGACCTAGCTTGTTTAGCGTTAGCTTGTAAACCAGTCGGCTAACTGTATAGCTCATTATTTACATTTTTTTACGGTCAATGGTTTAGAAATGTTTGTTAAGATGTTGTTGAAAATAATGAGATTGTGTGATGTTAGAAGCTAAAAGTTCACCTCGGTGGTTAACCACAGACTGTAAGTATGGTTATTTGATGTTATGATGAATGTTATACTCCACGTAAATGTGGACATTAAAAACAAACTTTGTAGTAATTATCCGTCAGTAACATAAACTGAACTGAACCTAATCTGCTGTGTAGGTTATAGAGGATGACATTAAAGTTACATGGTTGATGTAGTGTCTTAAGGTTTGAGCAAACTGTTAACAAAAAAAAACTATATTAATAACCATATTAATTTTCACTGAACTCATACACAGAATATAGCAGTAGAAATATAAATAACATATGGAATGAAAATAAGATATAAAGCACATAGATATAAAGTATAAGAAATAGTTTGAAGAGTACAGCCATGTACTGAGCTCATGTTAATAATAAATGAGTTACTGTATGTTCTGTACTAAAGCACAGAGAGTTGGGACCTGTTAATGATTTAAATAATTCAGGTTATATTTGTTTCATGTTAAGATGAAGTACTATCCACAATAAATTGCTTAATTTTTCCTCACCCAAAATCTGAGGCAATTTGATGTGGAATATCATTGTGTGAGTGAGTGAGAGAGCTGAAAATAGCATGATTACAATAATGTTTATCTTATTAACTTTGAATAGATGTTGATTACCTGAATACTGTACCTTTGTTGTCTGGGTAGTAAACTGTTGAATTTATAAATGTGCTCTTACACACAGATGAATACAGAAAAATAGATGAGAACAAAAACAATGATTTAATGAATAACTGATATTTTCTCTCTTTCTTTTCCATCCTGAAGACCCCTCACTAAAAGTCCATGTTCTCCTGGATCCATGTCACATGCTCAAGCTTCTTCTGAATGACATTTCAACAGTCGAAGTTCTGGAGAGAGAAGATGGCCAGCAGATAGGACAGCAGTACATCAATGAGCTCCACAGGCTTCAGGAGGAGGAGGAGGGTTTGCACCTTGGAAGACTGTATTCATGCTTCAGCTGTTCAAATAAAAATAGATCTCCTCCAAACAACTTGCAATCAAACTATTTTCTTCCCATTTTAAAACCCTTTGTCCAGTTTAGATGGGAGAAGTTGATATCATGTGATATTGATCTGGGAAGACTACATTTCTAAATCATTTTTAACTGTTTTTATTCACAAGTTATTGATCTTATTTACTCTCCATGTATCTTTGATTTAAGAATGGGGCTGTGTTTAAGGGCATATTTTTGCAATGACTCTGTTCCATCCCATTTTAAGAAATGAACTACATTAGTATTTATCAAAATAATAAAAAGCTGTGTAAAAGTAGACTTCCTTCCCTAAGCTATTGAGTTTAGCATTAATGCACATTTTAGTCTTGTCATTTCAAATCTGAAATGTATACACATAAGTAGACATAAAGGAGTCTATTTATATAGAAATATTTATTTAATCTGAAAAACAACATTAAAAAAAGTCTGTTTTTACAGCAGATATTATGTGTTTACAGCTTGGTACAAAACAAACAAATAGGTGTGATTAGCTCATGTCTCGATGGACACACTGTACGGGGGGGTGAATGTTTTGATGACTCATCAGTTTTGATCTGATAAAGGATAAGAGTTATTCACAATAAGGCTTAAAACCCGTCTCAGCTCCAGCTCTCAGCCTGTGGGTGACATCACTCAGGCCATCCGGGGGAGACCTCCCTCACAGTGAGCTGTTGAAGAGAAACAACTGAAGAACCCCAGAAGAACCAACAAATGCAGATGTTGTTGAGGCTCAGGTTTCTTCCTCTGTCTCTGCAGCTCTCTGGGCACCTCGACGGACAAGTCACCAATAATCCACACTGTGTCTATAGGAGAAATACAAAGGTGTTCAATTAATGCCTCAGACAAGACAAAATGTACAGTTAACTACATGTAACAGCTCAGGGTGTTTTTTTTGTTATGAGCCACATCTGCAGGAATAATATTGAACAAGGTAGCTGCAACTCATAATAATAGATGCCAGTCTTAAACACTATTTTTTCTAATACTTAGTTTTTGGTGTGAAGCTGACACTGTCCACAGACTCCATGACTTCACGGGGTTCAATAGAAAACAAATATCTTATAATAAATACTAAATAATTATTTTTCAATTGTCATGTTCACCTCATCGCTGTTGACATCAGTAAATGTAAGACACAGACATTCCTCTTTTTGTCAGAACATGAACTGCATTATGATATTGATTTCTTCTGGATGTCTCATATTTATTTACAGTTTATGGATAAAACTTTGTTAATGTATTTCTCTGCTAACACTGACAAAGTCTAACTGCTCTGACAAATAACTAATAACCATTGTTGTATATTTAAAAAAGTGTAGTTTTAAGACTTTAATTAAATATTTGTGTTGAATATAATTAGTTTTAACTGTGTTGTAGAAAAGTTAAATGTTAACTTACTGTTTATAGAGTTTTCTCAGGACGAGCAGGAATAGGGGATGCTAGGCTGTCAAGTCGACCGCTAACGTCGAGCTGAATGGGCGGAGTTAAGTCCCGCCGGTCCCGCCTTACTGCTGTTGGTAGGTTGATCCGAAGTTAGGTTGAGACTGCAAATCCAATATGGATGCGGCCGTCGATTGGACTCATTTTCTGCCTATGTAACAGACGGGTCAGGGTTCGTCCAGTAATATTTACAGTCTATGGTTGATTCATCCATTACGACCGGACACAATAGGCGTTGCACGTGATCCGAAAGTCGGCATCGGTGCAGACTCGCTGGTGGAGGGTTTTACAACCTACTACCACTCCCCGCCAGTTGGTTTGGGACGGACTTGATATGGCGGACCCTCCGCGGGGACTCG